ATTTTTCATGAATACTGCATAGTGTTATAGAGTTGGATAGCCTTCAACTACAATCGAGATACAAAAAAGATGTAAAAGAATATGGAATAAAAAGTTAAAAGTTGCATGATAGCGTGGGCCAAAAACTTTGGACACAATACAGATCTAGTGGATGGGAAAGAATTTGGAGCACAAATTATGAACTAACAAGATCAGTAGCACTCAAAGAAAATATGTATAAAATGTTTTATCATTGGCATTTACCACCAACGAGGGGGGGACCCACCCCTGCATGCAGAAATAGGCTTTTAGATTATTTACATAATAAAAGTATTATTAATTTTAGAAGGCTATCCAACTCTATAACACTATGCAGTATTCATGAAAAATCATAAAAGCATAAAATAGAAATATAATAATAATCAAATTAATTATTCTTTGAAGAGATGGGGCAGATAAATATTTGGATTTTTCTTTATCCTTTTAAAAGTATAAGCTGCAACTAAACCAATGCTGATATTGTTTTTCTTATAGTGATATTCATGAACCAGTTGCCTGTAGTGGTCATAATACTCCTGACTCTCCAGTTTCACCTGTAGGTCCTTCCTCTTTTACAATGCATTATGAAGACTTTTCCTCTGAATTGTCCTCTGAATCAACAACTGTTTTGTCACCTCCTTTCACTGACCCTGCAACAATAAATGTTGCTACTATAAATGCTACTTCTAATCCTTTCACTGAGCTTTCTTCTGGATTTCCTACAAAGTCAACCAATATATTTGTTCCTTCAACCTTGGTTGAAACAATTAATTCAAATTTTACAAACCATTCTATCCAACCTATTAGTACTTTTCCAGAAGTATATCCCACTACACCTACAATATCAAATGCTCAGCATACAACATCCATTTCTTCAGATTTCATGTCCACGTCTTCTTCCATGATCTACACTAATAATATTGGAGGACCACATAAAAAAAGCACAGGTAACATTGATTTAAATGCATCTTCTGTCGTGACCCTGATATATGCATGTAGTTTGATGAGTATGTGGAAGTACTAGGATTGTGCATGCTTCAGAAATGAAAGTGCTTTTGATGTCACACAACCACAGTTCTCTACTATTTAGAAAAACAGAGGCTTCCTGAAAAACTTTAGATAGTGGCACCTTTTTTTAAAAGGCTCATGTCAAGTTGTTTTAATGAATGCTGGAGATGTTCTGCTTGTATAAGGTCAGAAATACTTCCAAGTTATTTTCAAAGAATGAGCCACTCTTACTGATGTGCAGACTACTTCCACATAAATATCTAAAATCATAACACTTATCATAACTGATGATATTTGCTTGATAAAATTGATCTCTATTGTCTACTGGAATTCCTAATTTTATTTCTATCAAAAGAAATGGGGCAGTATAGGTCATTAGCTATATGCTCACTTTAGCGAAAGCATTAATTGCTGATTTCAGCAGGAAAAGTACTTCACTGAACTATCCTAATTTCTGTTTGAAGAAGCTTCCAAAATGGATGTTATGATTTTACCTCTGTTTCTATCCTCCATCCAGTGGTGATTTATTCAGTGAGCTGGGTTTGGCCTCCACTGCATTCATGCCATAAAAGATATACTGTATGTGCATCAAATTCTACTTTGAATCAAGGGACATGTGTTCAAAGGACTGCATAAATAAACAAAACTTCTATAATGCTTTGAAGCTTTTTAATGGTATTTTGTCCATGCCATTTTATTCAAATAAGGAATCAAAAAAACCCAAATATGGAGTACTTCATTTTCCCGATTTTCGGTTTTGTTTAAAAGTGCTGTTTCCCTCCCCCTATTTTTTGTAGAGCAAATCTCTCATAATAATTCAAGCATTACGAATAGTATTGATGCCTCCAATGTCAACAGCATTGTTTCGGAGCTTGAAGGCTACTTAACTGCAGAAACAATAGCACCATCTCTTGGACAGTCAATGCTGGAAAGAGTTAGCTTCCTTCTAAGCATGCCTCAATC